TGGGGCGAGAGGAGGGGCAGCCCGAGCCGAACCGGAATGGCGCATCGTGGCAAGTCCTGGGGGCAGGTGATCACAACTCTCTGAGGCTGGGAAGACAGAAAGCAAAGATGGAAGTCAGGAGAAAAAGAGCCCTAGGAACAGGGCAGGCCCACTCATCAGTCTCCGCACTACTGAACAGTAACTCCCGATGTAAAGCCAGGCTGGGGCACGTTCTGAAGGGCAAGCGGCCCAGTTTCTGCAGGAAGTCAATGACATAAAAAGCTGGGCATGATGGGCCAGCTGGTGGCATAGTGGCCAAAGAGGCCATAGTGGCCCAAGTCCCTCCTCTGCAGGGAGGGTCGGAGGATGGGCTGGATCTGACATGGCTGAATGCACGGTTCGAGTCCTAGACTCGGCAGCTTGAGAAACACGCTGGGCACGTATGTGTATATGTGCCCAGAATCCCAACAGGAGGGAGCAATGGAGAAGAGATTATGGCATGACTGCTTCCTTTCTCTCCCTCACTGTGAGCATGCGTGGCAAATTTAAAAAAAAAAAGAAAGAGGAGGAAGAAAAAGGAAGGTGCTCTACAGTGAAGGAGAGTTAGGAACCTAACTGTGGCAAGGTGTGGATCTTATCTGAATCCTGATTTGAATGACTGTACAAAAACATCTTTCGGGGACCAGCAGAAGGTTACATCTCTGCTCCCACATGGTCAACTGAGGTTTGGGTCCTGGACCTGGCGGCTTGGAACTCATGCTGGGTGCATGTGCATGCATGCCCAAGATCCCAAGGGGAAAATAGAAGAGAGGAAACTGTGGCATGGCCATCCCCTCTCGGGGTGATTTCTTGCTTTGTTTTTCTTCGGGGAGCACACGCACCCTATAGCAAAAAAACCTCTCTTAAAAAAAAATAAATAAATGAAAACATTTTTCAGACAACTGGAGAAATCTGATTCATGGAGTATGAGAAAATGACCAAAAAATTATTCTTAATTTTGTTAGCAATGGATAATGGCACTGTGTTAATATAAAATAATAAAAATGTTTTACATGTCATACTCACGGATACTTGAGTACATGGGGGGGCCATAAGATGATGTTTGTGGTTTGCTTTAAAATACTTCAACAAGGATGGGGCCAGCAGGTGGTATGCTGGTTAAGGGCGCTGGACTCCCCCCACATGGTCAACTGCGGTTCAAGTCGTGGAACTGGTGGCTTGCTTTCTCAGTTTCCTCTCTCTCTCACTCTGTCCCTCTCTGGTCAAATTAAAATAAATGAATAAATAAAGTTAAATAAAAAATAGTTTAAAAAATACTTCAGCAAGGGAACCAAACAAAGAAGATGGAACAAATGTAGCAAAATCTAAAACTGCTGAATGTAGGTGATTGGGATACGGGGTTCACTTCACTGCATTATTCCCTCCCCTTTTGTGTACACTTGAAAATTTTTAAAATACAAAAGAAAAGTCCATTCGGTATCGGCAGATCTCTTCACCCATTCCTACCCCTTTCTTTACCACGTTTTTCCCTCACCCTCTCATTACTCTGTCTTCCTGTCTATCCCTCCATTTTTCTCTCCTTTTCCTGTTCCAGCTGCTTCTTTACCTGCCACCTCATCAGATGCAAAACACACCAACCATACCTTGTAGGACCGGGGCATGCTGGGTAGGACGGTGCCCCCACAGCAACAGATGATCTCCCTCATCTGAGGCGGCGGCGGCTGGACTCCAGGTGTCACATGAATCTCATATCCCTGAGAGAGAGAGGCAATGGTGGACACCATATGCGCATGCGCCGAGAGGCCAGGGACCTGGGAAACCTCTGCAGGGAGGGCCAGAGCATGGGGCAGAGGACAGTCACTCACCTCCAGCAGCCTTCGCTCACGAGCCCGACGCAGAGCCTCCCGCAGGCTGAAGCCAAAGTTCTTCTCCTGCTCAGGGTCAGTTACCACATATTCATCCGGGGGCAAGAAGCAACCAGCCTTGCGGGACTAAAGACCACGGTAATTTGTATTAGAGCTCAGCCCGGGCTCCACCCAGCTCTCCCACCTGGCAACCCCCTGGTCTTTTTGTGTCCCTTCTTCCCTCCCGCCACTTTCTTTTTTTAAAAAAATTTTTAAAGAATGACTTTATTGAACTTTATTCATTTATTTAATTGTTTATTCTTATTTGACCAGAGAGGGACAGAGTGGGAGAAAGAGAAAGGAAAAGTGAGAGAGCAAGCCATGGGGTTCGGGACTCAAACTGTGGTCAGCTGTGGGTCCAGCGCCTTTAACCACCACACCACCTGCCAGCCCTTTTCCCGCCACTTTCGAGAGCCGT